GTTCCATTTTCTTCACGCACTCAGGGGCCTACTTTTTGCTAATTTCTACTGCTTTGGTCATTTCTAAGAAGTTGACCGACCTTCCTAGACTGCCCATTAACTTATTGATAATTCAATTATTGGAACGAGGCTCCTGTTACTGCTCTGCCTTTTAATGTTTCATGACTGTTTCACAGAGACTTGCTCGTTACCTGTCCTGGTTCACTTCTTTGTCTGTCAGGAATATAAAATGCTTGTCTACACTGCGGATTCCATATAGGAGATTATTCACTGAAATAATCTTTGTTCGCTTCTATTCAGGTCATCTGCAAGGGTTGGCTGACTCTCCTGAACGGCAAACTTCTCCGTGGCGGCAGTCGCTATTACTGGTTTGTCCTTACATCTGAAACACTCTCGTGGTTCCGAGATGATGAGGTATGTCTGTCTGTCGAACTGTGATACACACGTCTATCATTAAGTATTGTCGTAAGGCTATATGCACCTCTTCCCTGTCCTGTGCTAAGTGCATTCCTTATTGCTCATTGTATGCTGTCCTCGTTTAGTTTTAGAGACTCGCTCTCTTTTACTTTTAAGAAGTCCCCTACAAACGTCTGTTGACCTGTACCATAGCGCGAGTTCCCAAGTACAGTATGGCGAGTGCTGCAAGAAACATTGCGCAATTTGAAAAAGACCGGTAATCACTCGCAGACCATCATTGAGTATGGTTGCAATACTGTCTATCATGCAGTCCAATTTTAATTATTTTCAGTCACGCTAGGATGCCGACTATGTGATAAACTTCTTTCTGACCGCTGCGAAAAAGTTGAGTCTGTAAAAAATGGCTACTTAAATAGTATGCATTTTATCATTGATTTTGACTGCATTTATAAATTCAAATATATTTTATGGAAAGTACACGAAAAAGTCCTTTCTCGTACTTATCTGATAACAAATTGCGCCTCCTTACACGAAGAAATCCTCTCTTGTAGTTATTTGATAGCAAATTACGCCCTCCTTAATTTTTAGGAAAAAATCCTCTCTTGTACTTATTTGATAGGAAAATACGCCTTCTTTAAAACCGAAGGAAATCCTTCGTTTAAGAATAAAATTTAAAGAAGGCGCAATTTGCTATTAAATAAGTACAAGAGAGGATTTTGTCGTGCATGATTTCCATAAAATAGATTTGAATTTATAAAGGCAGTCAAAATCAAAGATAAAAATGCATACTATTTACGTAGCTATTTTTTACAGGATCAACATTTTCGCAGCGGTCAGAAAGAAGCACATCACAGAGTCAGCATCCTAGCGTGACTGAAAATAATTGAAATTGGACTGCATGATATAGACAGTGTTGCAACTCCACTCAATGTTGGTTTGCCAGTGATTACCGGTCTTTTTCAAATTGCCGTTCGGAGAACACACAGACCACCACGTCATCTTATGCCAACACCACAAGGCCAGATGGTCATTGCTGACACAACGAATCAGCGCAAAAGCAAAGGAATTTATCGATTTTTCTGTACGTTTAAATTGGACTGCATGATAGACAGTATTGCAACCCTACTCAATGTTGGTTTGCGAGTGATTACCTGTCTTCAAATCGCCGTTCGGGGAACACACAGGCCACCACGTCATCTTATGCCAACACCACAAGGCCAGCTTACCGGTCTTTTTCAAATTGCGGAATGTTCCTTGCAGCACTCGCCCTACTGTGCATTAAATTAAGGCAAAATGATCCTCTGTCGTCAACGTTCTAATCCCTCTTTTTTCATCTACCTTTCTTACCACCGGTTCACCCGACTTAGGAGAAGGACAAAAAGTATGTGTTGCCACTGGAGGGTTTGAAGCAGCGTGGCGGCGAGTCTTCCTTCTTTTCACGTCGCCCCAATATCAGCCTCTTCTTCCCCGATCCGAAGGCGAACGTGTACAAAGAGTTCAAGACTCTGGATTTAGCCGCCGACACAGTCGAATCGATGGAGGCCTGGAAGGCCGCTCTGCTCCGAGTCGGCGTTTATCCTGAACGGGTTGCCAAACCGGAAAATGAAGATGTGAGTTTTTTTTGGTAGGCTTGACATCCCTCCGCCTCCAACACGTTGGTGCATGACCACCTCTGATAGGGCTATGACAATAAAAAGGGTTTTGCGAGTGGGAACCCTGGCGGACTTACCGAGAGCTCATTGGTCATTCCGTTTTTGCACCATTTACCCGGCCATTTCCCGACAATAAGCACGCTGTATTTTCTTTATGAAATCGCGCCGTTTCTCATTGGCTACTTATATTACACGGGGTTGAATTCAGGGCTACTTAAAACGTTACAATGAGCATGTGGCTAAATATGGCCTTCCGACCATGTTGTTCGTTCCACTATAAGTCTCCACCCCTAAAACCCCCTTTATTCCCCATTCTCTTATTAGAGGGGGTCTTGCGTCGGTGCCGGAGGGGAGCTATATGTTTTCTTATCATTTACCGGCCAACCTAGAGGCAGTTCAGCCTACTAAGCAAACGAAGGAGTTTCATTTTGAAACTGGGAAAGGGGCGGGCAATCTTTTACCCTCTGTCCAATATGTCGGGGCGTTGGGGCTGCCGTTTATTGTCAGAAAATAAAACACCCAAAACTCCCTCTGCCACAGCAAGTTTAGCCGTAGTCTGCCCCTCAAACCCCACCGTAAATCACTACTGTCCTGCAGAATGTCCAATGATGACTTCCACATTGATTGTTTCATGATGAAACTAACTGACGCAGTGCTGACCGTGTTCCTCCCCCGTAGGCATTGTGTCCCAATGGCGAAACAAGGTGATCGGAGGCAGACTTTGGCGCATTGATTTCTACTCTCGCTGAGCACATGCCGTAGGCATTATCTTACGCTATAATACTGTATTAAGAAATAGCCACTGCACGTTGACCCGCAAGTGCCAAGGAATGAGCTATTCCTCCAGGTTGTGACGACCTTTAAGGCTCTGCGATAGTTCAACAGTGCGTGAATTGTATTGGGATGGTAGAAGGTCGCACCAAATTGGCCTCCCCTCTCTCTTTCTGTCATCTATTTATGTGCCAGTAACATATACCATTAGTGCCGGCTGCAGATAGGATCAGGCGCGGAGGCTCGCTTTTGCCAAGCTAACTTTGGTTCCTTGCTGCACAATACTAGGGCTTTCCTCGCACACATTTCCTAGTGCAGGAGCGAGCTTTCAATGCAGTAGGTGTGTAAACTGTCAGGTAGACACAGACAAATGTCAGTTCTGCGCTGAGAACCATCGTTCTTAAAAGTGCGATGCACTCAGAAGGGTGGGGGGTGTTCTTTTCTCTTTCTCTCCATCACCAGGCTTTATCACGCTCGCACTCACTTGAACTTCGGCATAACTTACATGAGCGTTGGCAATGCGTCATAAAGCACCCTCTGCATCGATCACCGGCCTCCCCCTCACCTGCGCTCATTGCAAA